AAGGTATATACTATTTTATCTCGAGTAAAAAAATAAAATCAAAGTCTCTTTCTTTATCTTTAACTTTCGATGTGATGACCTTTAATAGATGTCCTTTTGTTTATTCAACGAATCCCTTGAATTTCATCATATTTACTTTACACATCACTGGCCTTTACCATGCTTACACCAAATTATAACATTAAGAGCCATGTTGTTTGATAATTATAAAAGTAATGCTATCAAGTGGTAAATATAACAGTACTGTAATTAATATTATTATTACTACATTTACTGTGGTAGTAGGACGACCGCCACTCCAACTGTAATGAGATATCATTACTTGTCTTTTCTTAAATTGTGTTTGCTAAGAAATATAATTTTCAAAAATTGAACAATATTTTTTACAGAAACTGCCATCAAACAATAAAAGTGAGGGAAAGCAAAACTAGCAATAAAAATCAAAGAGAACGTATATTCTCCGGCATGAGGCAATAAAAATCACTGAAGACAACAACATTCAAATATCCATTTTCCAAAACTTATCGTTGAACATGAAATTAATTTTTAAGGAATAAAAATTTCGCCTTACCCCTTATGTTGGCCTCACCACAGCATTACCAACTTATCAACCGACTATCATTGACGGGTATTTTCGAAAATGGTAAGATTTTTTTCGATAAAGTTCTTAAAAAATCAATTGCGAAAGATAGAATGTTGGCACGCACGCCGTCGAGGCTTAACAAATGAAATATGGAAATCTGGAAGTGATTTGGTCTTAACTTTCTATACACACAGGAAAATATGAAAAAGAGCATTTACGTTTATGACGTGTAGAAGTGTTTAAACAAGTACTAGAAATTTTTTTAATATTTAAACTACTTTTGGGGCATTTTTCTTAGAGAAATTTCACAAGGATAACAGTCATTGTGATATATTTGGAATTTTGTGGATGAAAAGATGTAAAAATAAATTGAGGATGCGAATTTCTGAAATTATTTTTGAGGAAAAAAGGCAGAAGGCGGATCCCATTTTATCAAACGTGTCTACGCCCTTCACTTATAAACGTCAGAAATGTGCACGTAGAGATGCATTTATCGAATAGGAGAAAGCTCAGTGTGTGAAGAACGAAGCAAGTAGAAGAATTTTGAAAGTATGACAGCACAAATCACAGGTAAGGCGGTGCAGTTTATTGCAGTACTTTCCCTCTCACAAATTTATAAAATGAGAGAGTAGAAAAAAGTCTGATTATTCTTGAAGAATGTTATTTTGCAATGTATTCACTCGTGTAGAAGGGCATTTTTCAGACGCTAAATATTTTAGTGACTCAAATTGTACTGACAATACATCAATAGATGTTGTAAACCAAACAAAACAAATGTAGAACCAAAACAAGAGAGAAAGTTTCAGAAATCTCGTTTCCTATTGCTGCAAGTTAATGGCAAAATAAAGTAAGCATCCTTAGCAAATTTAGGTTGAAGAAAAGAACTTATCACTCTACATAACCACATGCTCTTCTGAAAGTTGATCTACTAAAGTAGGCTTATAAAACTAATTATATGTAGCATTCATGCGATTGCAGATTGACTATAAATAAATTAACTGATGGACGTTGTTGATAGTAAAATTATAAGCACTGACTCATTCTAATTTTTCTTTGCATTTGCGATAATCAGAAGCATACTTAATGAGTAAGGGATCTAGTTTTCGGTTTCTATGAGGTCAGGAACAACTTAACATGCGTTCTGTACTTGTTCGAGTCGTGAATTTTCTTACACATAGGGAGCTATTGCATTTTAAAACTGAATTTAAGTTAATTTAGTATTCACAACGCTTCAAGTGGAGAACTAAATTGTGGAGGTTTAAAGAACAGAAAAACTCTCTAACCTATCAAATTTTTGCAAAAATTTGATTTGACAAAAAGTGCGGAAGCAATATGTAAAAATTATATCAAAATTGTTGTAAAGCAACAACTCTACAGCAATTCTGACATAATTTTTATGTTCCAGAGTTGTAGCTCTACAACAATTCTGACATAATTTCTCGCTTTTATGAGATAGTTCCTTGGCTAATTAACACTCATCAAAAGTGCGACTTGCTTGCAGTGCGATTTCTAAATTAAAGCGATAAATCATTTTTTTAGTAAACGTAAAAATTTGCCAACGTGTTCCATAAATGAGAAATAGAGCAGCATAAACGATTGCAGACGTGAGGCTAAAAGGAAAGTATTTCTTCCCATTCGTACATACAGCTCGACAATTACTTTATGGGACCATATGTAAAGTATCAGTGTACGAGAGACAAATTTTAATGCTCTGTCCAGCGGAGCAACTAATGCCACTAAGTACGTGGAAGAACTGTGTTTAATTAAACCTGTTTCATTGAAGCAATTTCTAGTTCTGTTAGACACAAATGTAAGTTATATTTATCGTTTTTGCTGCTCAGTGCTGCCTGATACTATGTTGCACTAACTTTTATTCCAAATCTGTCGTGTTCGGTCGTTCTATCAATCAGCTCACTAAAAGCAAGAAATGCAATAGATGGCATACAGGGAGGTGACAGATGGCATGAGGGAGAAGATGAAGCCATATGACATGGCTGCTTTCTGGAGGTTCTAGCTACAAATGGAATTAGGAAAGTTTGTGGTGGTAAGCAAAAAGTTGCGTAACCTGCTACTGCTTTTATCAGTACACTTGACGTATTTTAAATAGACATCATAAATTCATGAAAGCAACATAACAGGTCGTAGCCTTCATTTCTCACGAAAAGCAACATGAATTAATTTTTGAAAATGATTCTGGAAATCACCGTTTTTATCAGAAAACTGCTTTTATTGTCTTTCGAAAAGCAACGTACCACTCGAAATTGTAAACTATGAAGTGTCCAGGAACTGTTTGTTTTATGTCTCTAAATATTTAACGCTGATAAAAAAAGATTGCTAGTAGACATAAAAATAATAAAAGGAACTTCTGCAAAGAAGGTAAGAAGAGGTTCTTCTGCATATTACATTTTATATGATATATATAATTTTATTTTATATTAAATTATTTATAATGATTGTGTTCTGGGTATCTGCGAGGTTGCATTTAGTTTGAAGGTAGGGTACAGCAACTGCTAAGTACGTGTTGTGAGCCTTCTTCTGCTTGAAAATTGCAACCCTACTGATACATAGGCTCGGTATCTACAAGTACGTTATGAAGCTGCAAAAGCATAAGCTTACTTCTGTGTTCAATCCTACCTCGTCTCCTGGCAGGTAAAGCCTCTCTAAACATGCAGATTGATCGTGAATTCATTGATCGTGAATTCCTCACCTATTTAGTAACTGTCTGATATCATAGTCAGTTGCTCGAGAATTCTCTGGTTCCAGTTTGAGCACCCCATATAATAGTTTATTAAACTTATGGCATGCTCATTTACTGCCTTGATAAAGTTCCTGCCGTTTATGCAGTTTTGGCTAATCGCTCAATTCTCACTAAAACCTCTCACGGACACTATTGTAGCTTTCACGGGTAGGTGCACTAGTCTTGTCTTTCACTACTCTAAAGTATTATCAGCTCATACCTCGTGTTGGTGGCTAGCTTCGCTGGATTCATTTCTATACCTACCACTCAAGAAACTTCTCAATTTCCTCGACCATAGATTTCATGATGTCCTCGTCGGTTGCATAGATATTGAGATCATCCACAAACAACAAATGATTCGTTATGTGTATTCCTTTATCAGTTGGGACTGTCACCTTTAGATACCTTGTATTGAGCCGACAGCCCACCGGGTCCATGCACACACGAATAGCAGCGGAGAAAAGCTATCACCTCGTAGAATTGGTAGTTTGAAAATAGTCTTCTCACAGCAATGTCTATTTGTATGATTCATCCTACACATTTATTTGCCAATTTGTAGAGGCTTGATAACAAGTTATTGACCTGAAGTTGCTAACTTTTGTTAGGGACATCGTCTTTTTGTAGAACCATCATTGGTCCTGTTCCTCCCCATACAAGTAAATTCGCCTTATTGTTAGAGATCTAATGTAAAGAAGCAATAGACTTCATCAGAGCCACTGCCTTCCAATGGAGCAAACAGGAAACTATCTTCCAAAATTCGGCTTGAGATGGAAGTGTTCATAATCTCCACTTCAAAGAATAAAAGGTATTCACCTTTAGTCAACCGCATCATAAAGCAGGAAAGTGGAGAATGGAGGATAAACGGAAAAAAAGCTTTCACAAATTGGAATCATAAATGAAAACACATGGAAGACAGGAGAGGTTGCTGAAGAAAGCGTGAAGGGCATGGGGAAACACTCGGTCATTACTGTACCAGAACCAACAGAACTGAGCGCGGGGTGCAACGGGAACGCCAGAATCAATGGTGCAAAACAGAAGAATAAACTCCGTGTGATATATATATATATATATGATGTGCATACGTTTTAGCGCCAAAATCAATAAGAGAAAAATCCGATCTTCAACAACTGTTTGACGAGGAAATTAGAGCTAGCAATTGAAATGCAAAGTAGAAATACTAAGAAGCTTTACGCCACAAACAGATGAAAATAGTAGAAAGACTAAAAAGCCTACGCAACGAACCGATGATGCCACCTGACAAACTTGCAAGCCATTATACATCTTACCTTGTTGAAGCACATATCGTAGATGCCAGGGTACAAAATCAACTGAGTGTGACACATTATCCTAATACAGCGGTAGAAACATGCTTAAAAAGAAAAAAAAAGGAAACTTGTTCATTTAAAACAAGTTTCTTGATTAATGCATTCAAAGCTCAAGAAAACAGGATCGACATAAGACTATTATTTATTTATTTATAATCAATTTGCCATAAATAGTGCAATGATTTTGTTACAGAAGTCAAAGGTACATCACAGAATAATGAAACTAAATATTCTCTAGATTACCAATTACGACGTAAACTACCAATCACGGGATTAAAACACTTGATATAAAATCCCAGAACTGACTATTTCAAATTTTAGTTTATTAATTTCTACCAGTAGGACAAATCACTATTCAATATGCATGATTAGCGACATAAAGATTTTGCGATGCTGCACCAGAGCCTGCACTTCCAACATATTTACCCAACTGTGCTAGCGAATTTGCTTCTGCACGTTTAAGGAATGCTTGCTTGGCTGCTTGAATATTTTCCGCTTTACCACCCCAAGCTGCAAGAGCTGACGCTTGTAAAGCCCGACCGTAACTGAAAGTTAAAGCCCACGGCTTTTTACCCTGAAAGAAATTTTAATTAAATCACAGATAATCGAACGGCCAAAATTATCCTACTCCTAAACTAAAAGGTTATGCAGTTTTTTACCACTAACTATGCTTCAGTACAAATAATTTATTCATACTAAATATCCAATTTTTCTCAGAACAAATGAATATTGAAAAAGGAATGTTTCTACTGAGATCAAGATATGAGTGTCGCTACAAGTTACGGTAAAGGCTTTCCTAATTTATAAGAAATGGTGCAAAGATGGAGCGTGACACTGTGTTCTTAACAATAATTTAATGATTGTTAGGAACATATATAATCCAAATTATAAATCCTTTACTAGCAGTGCAGTATTTGGGAATGCAACCATTAAATGTAACCTGATACTGATTAATAGCATTTAAATTAAGTGTTGCATCTTCTTCTGACTGACCCCCAGAAAGAAAAACAACACCCGGAACAGCTACTGGGACCGTTCGTTGAAGAGCGGTAACGGTAGCCCGTGCAATATCTTCATGGGAGCATGTGCCTTTGAATTGCATCCCTGCAGAATATTATTCACTCAAAATAAAGCGGTATTTCTACAATCTTTAGAAACCCAAAATTTTTATATCGATCGTTCCATAAAGTTTGTAAACTCACATTCATCTTTTACTAAATGATTAATCAGTCAAGTAAAATCTCTACAATTAAGTGATAAAAATGAAAACATGATAATGAACACAAAAAATACCCATCCAAAACAATTACACGCAAATGTAAAATGCATAAATTTTTTACCAGGCATGCACATATTAGGTTTCAGTAATGTTCCTTCCAAATAAACATGGTGATCGATTAATGCTTTGTAGGTGTATGACAGAACAAGTTCCGTGACTTTTTGACATCGTTCAAGGTCATGTTCACCATCAGGTAATGTTTCTGGTTCAACAATAGGAACCAGACCGTGCTGCTGACAAATTGAAGCATAACGGGCTAACACCTAGAACGATTTATTAAATCAATGTGAGAACTCAATTCAAAAATGATGAATCTTTATTTAAATGAAGTGGTGTAAGAATAGAGTGCAGAAGACATGGAAGGATCAAAATGATCAAAGACCTTTTCTGTATCAGTGTTGTAAAAACTACGAATGATTTCTCAGGAACAATTAAATTTTGGACTACTTTGAAAAGATGTGCATAAATTAATGGAAAAAAAAAAACTACCTCGGCTATTTCTACTAAAGCCATATGACTTGGTGTGGTAGCACCGATTTTATGAACACAACGCCATTTTGCAAATTGCGCACCATCCTGAAATCAAACCACATTTTTACTGAATGTAATAGTTTAAATCTTTATGGTTTCAAAATAGATAGATAATTAAAGAATGCATTAGCACAATTCACAATCATTTAAAACAACCTTCTTGTACTGAGCGCATCGATTATTTAAATCATCCAAGCCTTGTGTAGTTCCCTCACCCACTGTACCAGCCATTGGAATAACACCCTTATCGACCTGAATAAGCCAAGACAATAAAAAAGTAAGTACATAAAATGAGATAATTATGTTAACATGATACAATAACGTAGTTATATAAAACATCAAAATACTTTATTAATTTTTGAGAAAAAACATCTTGCATCGATTTGCCTTAATAAGTAAAGAAACAGTTAGGACAATTCGGAAGTATTAAATAACTATAAAACTATGAGAATCAACTTACTTTAATGCCAGGAAGAATGCCCTTCTTCTTAAGGATTTCAACGAACGGTGTACCGTCATCTCCTTTTTGATAGAATGTTTCATGGAACATAATAACACCGGAGATATATTTGCTCATTTCATCGCCTGATGTGAAAAGCAGCTAGAAGATAAAGTCAGATAAAGCTTATTCAATCACTAGAAAAAGAATTATGGCAAATCAGTGAACATATTAATACATCAATAATCCAAATATAATGGAAAAGTACGTTCTACGAAATTTTTAATTTTCGTAAGAGTAATGAAACTTTACTTGACGGTACAGACGTCGATTTTCCTCCACATTCTCAAGTCCAATAGGTTTTAATTTTTTGTCCATACTTCCTATAATAAATAGAAGAAGTAGTGGAAAACATATTAGTGGCAACAGGCATGCAAACTACAAAAATGTTTTCAAACTTTTCGCGTTCCATCTTCTTCGTATTGTAAAAAAATGAATACACTGTGACTGCAATCCTAATTAATTTCACTACAATACGCTTCTAAAACAAAAAAAAATACCAGTGCTCTCATCGGCTGCTAAAATGCCTTTACCAGGCGTGACAATTTGGTTAGCGATTTGACGCAGTTCATCTTGTTGCTCTTTAGTCAAATATGTAGTATACGAAGTCATTTTCTGCAATGAAAATCCCGAAACTATTATGACTCAACCTAACAAGAGAATGTTCATGAGCTTATTAAGGCAACCTCATAAAATAAACGATACAATCATCATTTCTACAAAATAACATAATTACATCAAATCATATTGCTGAAAAGAGAAGTGTTGCCACGTAATATGCAGCAGATAACTAAAAAAGTATGCAAAAGAAACGAAATAATTTTTTAAAAATTCACCGAGAACAGAGCCTAGCTGACCTCTTTCTCAATTAATCTCATATTATTATATACTGAAGTGAATACCTCACTCAAGATACCATAAAAACACAAAATTATACAGAAAAAACTTAAGCAGCCAGCTTGCAGAAGGTTATAGGCACAAATGAAGGAAAAAAGTTAAATTCAACATAAATTACAAGTAAAAAAGAAGCGAAAGCGGAAGCTAAAACCAACACTACAATACAATTCTTTGCAGAAATGAAATAAAGATACAGTAAAAACAAACTTTCATCTTTTGGTAATGTAATGGTTTCACAATGAGAAAATAAATAAAGCTCGCTCAGAAATGACAAAGAAATAATTGCACTGCAAACTTTGCAACATAAAAATTTAAGACGTGGGTAGTTGGCATGAAATATCCCAACTCAACACAAACCACACTGATTATTTAGTTTGTATTACGGTAATGCGATAGATGCTGCGATCACACTTGATACACACATTGCCGTAAAGCAAACTTGTCTAATAATAGTTTGTACTGGTATAGTAATTCAGGCAGCAACATTCTTATTTTCTTGCAGCAACAAGAAAGACTGCTTCCGTGCTCATTCGTCTAGCCCTGAATTTCCAGTGTGCAGTCTCCTCGTCAACTCGATGAATCAGTCTACTGCTGCATCTTTTCCCTTCCTACTTCTCTCATATCTTGCACACAAAATGTATGTCTCTCCAGAAAACACTTATATCTGATGTTTAGAGTATAACTAAAGAAAAGATATAATCACAATGAATGCCTGCACTAGCTAGTATCACAATCATTAACTACATCACGCGTATCCACAGTTGCATCTCTCTCTATAAACTAACTACAGCAACTCTGCAAGTCCGCATTTTCGGATGCAACACTGCTTATACACTACTGCTGAGAATCTTGCACCTCAGCTCTTATGCATAATATTCTTATTTTCTCCATGCTATTCTCAAAGAATCACTAAATGCATATGATTACTTCTCTTATCTCGCAAATGTTTCACAACAAAACTCTACTGCCACTAATAGGCACATATAAAGCACTGTACACGTCTTAATGAACAAATGCAAGCACATGCACAGATACATTAGTTCTACATTGTGAATACTACATATGCACATCGCACGTCACGTACGTAATTTTCTAAGCTTGTAAAAGATAATTTGTATTCAAAAGTGGACATACATGGATCCATCCGCACTAACCCACAACTTAGAAATGACATACTTTCACCACACACATAACTAAATAAGTTGCTACAGCCAAACTGATGCATATTTTCCTTATGGTTGTCAGTTGTTCTCGACAAGAAAACGATTAAAGGTGAGTGAACTATGTTGCATGAGAAAAAAGTGCTGTGAGGAAAAAGAAATGCAAGCAGTCAGCCATTTGTGAGTCTGGAAGGGCGTCTCGAGTGAGCTTGGCAAAACGAAGAGCACTAAGTAGCAATTGCGAAGCTCTGACTATTGACAAGTAACGGCCAAAAAACTTACTGCACGTGATTCTCGTTATCAAAAAACTACGGCCCTCGTTTTCTCTCATTACACTCTTTTCTATTTCACCAATTCATGACATCTCCAATTACGTTAGAGGGAGGTAGGAAACGTGAAGTGATTTATGACATCAGTTTATCCCCTATATTTGGGGCGATTGGATATAAGTGAGATGGTTCGTCTACTTTGGTTTTCTGAGCGTTACTGATTTCACAAGAGTCTACAACACTTTCTTATGTGAGACAACAAACAAGACGTGATGAAGACTAACTGCAGCGCCAGTTACAGCTCGCGAACCAGTAAATTTTGTCAAATGTGCCTTTTTTCATTTTCTTTGTTTCTAAATAATGCAAGAGCAAACAAATATATGCAACAAACATGATAAGTTTCTGAACAATGACGTGGAGTAAAAGATTAGTAATAGTGCATTTCGAAACTGACGAAGGACACCAAACTCTGAGTAAGGGTGGAAGTTTAATATCAACAGGGCAATTACAGTACAAGAACGGCAATTCCTTTGTTGGAAAAGTCAAATTGGTCATAACGAAGCAGTTTATTCAAACACATCGAATAGTCATACTTTCGACAGTTTGCGCACATAATGAAGTTTGGACTCGTTAGCAGTAAAGAAATAACAATGGCAAATAAAACATGAAAGATTTTGCGGGAACGTATTTGCATGAGAAAGCTGAAGCTAGTTCAATCGCACAAAATAATTAGCCGACATGCCATCCTATTTATGAAACTAATTAAAGAGTATTATATCACCAGCCTTCATGAGCTCATGTTTCACTTAAGTTAAAAAGCTAGGATCATTTAATGGTCTATGGATGGCTGGATGATATATGCTTGTAACGTTATAATTCTCAGTGATATTGACATTTAATGCTTCTTAAATTGACAATCCAACTCTATTTACCTGCAGCGTGGCAGAAGATTGAAACACAATAGTATTTACAATATGTACAATAAATTGATTGAGCAGCGACAGTCTTAAGATTGATAACCGAAAAGATATAGTTTCAATCTAAAACTATTCCTCATCTGCAACAATTTTGAGACCCTCTGTAGGACTATCCTGCATTTTGGACATGCTCGCAGCGGTATCAGGAAAGCCAGAAGCAGATGCAGATTGTTCAGACGGTGAATTTCTTGGTGATGGCTGCCGTTGCGGTGCTAATGCCATCCAACGACCTGACGAAGCAGGTGGTGGCATGAAGTTTGCACCACCCATTACTGGTGGTATCATTCGAGGTAGCGGTACCAACGGTCTAAATTGATTTCTGCAATGTTAATTTCTCAGGAAAGAAGTCTTACAAAATTCAACAACAAATTCTAAAATTAATCGTTCATTCGGCAAAAACTGGCTAATTCAATACTCAACTAAGTTGAACAAAAGTTTAAGAAGTTGAAAGAATGTTTGAATTTTGGCAAGAATCTTGTTAGCAAGAACTTTATTCTCAACCCTTCAAACATGTCAAGGAAAGTTATCACAAAAAGTACAAATTACAAACCGTGGTGGGTGGTGCATTATATTCCGTGGATCAGGCAACAATGGTCGTCGGCCGGGTAGCATAGGCGGCATACCACCCATTCCTCTGAAAAGCGGTGGTGGAGGCGGTTCAGCAGGCAATTTCAAAATTGATTTCGGTTTGGGTGGAAATATAGATGAAATTCCCATTGATGCTGAAGCTGTTGTTGTCGTAGTTGTTGCTGATGCCAAAGTTGATGTCGCTTGAACTGACGAAGGACCCGTATTTTGAAGAGCATTTAAATAAGTATTGGATGATGATGGAGTAGTTACAGCTGGTGTAGGTGCTGTCGTTGGTGTAGGGCTTTCACATTTTTCATTCTCCATCACCTGAAAGCATCTTTGTTACTGAGTCATATCTAAGCAACAGCAAGAAGGAACTGAACAGTGCTCAATGCAAAAAAAATTTTCCCCATAAATTTCTGCGACAAGTTAAATTAATCGAGTTTCAGGAATGATTTATTAAATTTTCAAATGACATTACTCCTTCTAGTTTTAGTTTTAGAGAACTAAAGTGGATAAATTACTTAAAGATTTTATCATGCTTTACGTATTTGTATAATTTCAAAAAAGAACTTCAGAGATTGACTTTTTAATAACAAGAGTAATAAATAAAAATTTTTCTCTGAAACAGCAGTAATCAATCACCTTTGGTATTTTGAAGTTTTTAAGGCTAGCAAATGCAAGGGCTTGAGGAAACTCCACTTTCGGAGAAAGATTTGTTGTCTTTTGTTCACTTGATGGACGGTCAATTTTCAGTTTCTGAAATACTCTGTTAATAAATTAATTTCTGAGTCTAGACATAGCTTATGGATCAGCCTCAAATATCTTCAAGTGTAGTGAATGAATATCACTCAAATACCTAAGCTCAGTTTATTCTTTCTAGCCAGAAATTTACGTACATATCAAGAAAATGTCTTATAACATGTAAGACTTTTTTATAAGATAGTTTCCTAAGAAAATACTTCACTACTGCAGTTCTCATGAAAATTTTAAACAATCTCTCGACAAATGACGAATTACTATTTTTGATGACGGCTTTTTGATCCGATAGTAACAGAAAGTAAATAATCTAATACGTTTTTACACATTAAATATTAATCAAATGATTTCTTTCATTGTCAGCGAATAATCAAAGTAACAGATGTATTGACGACATACCTTGGTAGTGCTATTCAGTTCATTTTTGCGTTCTCTTTTAGCCGTTTTACGGGCTCGTTCATCTTGCGCAGATCGATTTTTGTCTTTTAGCTGTTTCTGACGTGACAATGCTTTCTCTTCTTTAGATCTTGATGAAAGTGGAGGCTGACCAACCAAACGCATGGACCTTAAAAAATCATAGAGATTAAAATCATAATAAATAAAGAAACCAGTAATAACTGTATAAAAATGCTACAAGAATGAGAGAATGTGAAAATTACTAACGATGGCACACTACTCGATGCAGTTTGAGAAGATGGTACAACAGAAGATCGTGTTGATGCTTGTTGTTTCAATTTAATCATTATCTTTAACTCCGATCCACAACCTGATTGTTCAGAATTCATTTTTGTCAAATTTGGGGACATTCTGGCACCAGGCGATGAGACCGATACTGATGGACTGTCCCGTTTTGTGGGAGTTGGCTGCAAAAGCTAATTTTGATACAAATATTATAAAAGTATAGTTTCAACGAATGATTTTTTGAAAAAAACTCATTTAAAAACATTTAAATCCATTAAAATTACGAGAGGCATAGCAAATTTTTTTTAAACACCCCAACTACCTCAGATGGTTTAACTGGTTCTGATTCGTCGTCATATAAATCTGAAGCAAGGTATGGATTTGAAGTTGTAGAACCATTGTTACTCGGCAGAGCACTTTTACAATGTAACTTGCCGACGACAGCTTCTAGACTTCCTTTTCGTGCTTTATGAGCCAAAAACGCTGCCTGTAGTGATGTGCTATTAACTGCCGATGGAGATGAACTGGTTGGCGGTGCGAGTTCAGTCAGTACTCCACTAAAAACGATTTTAAAACCCCAAATTTCTTCGTATGTCACAGAAACAACAAATGCTAAAAAGCGAGAAAATTTTGACAGAATTTAATTCTCAAAGGTGTCTTTCAAGACATGCAAGAATTGAATTGTACTATTTTTAATTAAGAAAAGTTTAACAAAATAATTGTAGATGGGAAGGAAATCAGCCTGAATGATAAAATAAAATAGAAGTGAACAGTTAAGTCCAAATAATGTGAAAACCAATGGTCTCGCAGTTTTTGATGGAAAAGCTTTCAACAAGTGTTGAGAGCAACTCATATCAGAGAATGCAGTAAATATCTGATTTTCATATGAATAATCTAACAAACCTGGATGATGAAGAAGAGATAGATGAGGCAACAGATTGAGATGAAGCCTTATTTACATGTGATGGTGTAACTGATGAAATATTGGAGAGAGTAGTTGTTTGAGTCATTGTAGTATTGCTGCTTGCAGTAACAGTATGCTGTGTCGATTGCTGCAACCCCGTAGTACGGACTGGAGGAGGTGGATCGGTTTCCTCATCTGATGATTCTTCCGTTCCATCAAATCCTGACACCTCTGATCGATTTTCTTGGGGAATATTGGCTGTAATTGAAAAGCGGAAATCCTTCTACAATTGACACCAAACATTGGGTTTAAAAATCCAAAGAACAAAAGAAACAAGATACTTGATCCAGAACCGAATGCGTTAGCTCGTCAAGAGCATCAAGACATCTTAAATAAAAGCAGTTCAATTAACGTTACGCTACAAGTTTGCTCGTCCATTCTCATCGATTTACCTGAATTCCTTTGAAGTTATCAGAAGCTAACAATATTTATGAATTGGTTCAACTGCTCTTAAACAATTTTTCGTTACCAGGTGGAATTTGAGGAGGATATGCAGGCATCTCTGAGAATGACCGCTGTAACATTGGACGATTCATAGCAAACTGATGAGATTGTGCTGGAGACGCTGGCATATGTACAGCTTTACGAGGTCTTCGGGGACGTCTAGCTGTTGAACTTCCTAGAAAATGATGAAGCGTATATAATTGTTTTAGCATATATGTCCTGATTTGAAAGTAGACATGATTGGGTTACATATCAATATTCATGAAATGAACTTCAGTACTCAATTTTGTTCACAAACCTCGCGGTTTTCGGGTTGAAATATTGATACCACGAAACATCAGCCCCGTACTTTGGTCAATAATTGATCTTGCTGGATCTAACATTCTATCTCCTATATTGCCTGCTTTGCGACCTCGACCCCGACGTTTCAGAGTTGGTTGCGCATTCATTGAGCCCCTCGTGCTGTGCATAGCTGCAAACGTGTAAGGATTCTGTCCTGTCTCTGGGAAATGAAATTGCTGAGCTGATGATGCTAGCGAATTTGCTGAAGTCATACGGGGTGGATCATCAAATTCAAAAACATCTGTCGGATTACTCATCGGTGCTTGCTGCTGAAACAAGTCAGTCAGAGTCTTGTTCAAGGAAATCAATAATTTTTGAAAAATACTATTGTGGCAGGTGTATGGACTTTTAATCTTATTTTTTCATCCACTTCTTCCATTAAATACTGTAAATTCTTGCCTTTTGACATACATTATATTACATACTAAGCATAATAATGAATGTGAAAACTAAACCGCGAGTCGCTGACGCGCAATTTCGAGAGGTGAGAGATGCGTAAAATTTGTTCCCTGTGATCCACGATAACGTTCATTAGCTGGTGAGGGAGACTGTGAGGGCATTGTAGGCCTGTGTCTCTGTGTCTGAAATAAGTGCATGTCTAAAGGATTACAAAACAATGCTTTTTTGCGAGAACTACAATAAAGATCAGTCGCTTCCCTATCACTAGAAGAGGAAGATGATCAAATTGACTGATCACTCATTTCTTGGATTATCTTCTCACCTCGTTAGTAGAAGGTGAGCACCGTTCTACAATGGAAGAATGACTGCTTTGTTCGGAAACGTTTGATTCACCATCATCAATACTTGCCGCCATATCACATATAGCGTCCTTCAAATTCAGCACGAATTTTTAAATTTCAAACAAATTTTCTAGGTTTGAGAATATTTTTTCTAGCAGATATAATTTTGTGAAGTTTTACGTAGATAGCGACATAAGGCTTCACAAATCGTACTGAATATTTCTTCTTGCAAGACTTGTACTCAACTTTAATATTGACATCTACTCTGCTCTTCGCCTGTGCCCGGTATTTTATTTACTTCTAATCAATTCTGTTATTTTTTTTCAGCCAGTAATTTTAATTTTTTTAAAAATTAAGTTTTTAATCATGATGACGACACTGTTGACAATGTTCGTGCTAGCATGTATTTAAAAATATTTTTAACTGCAGAATTAGTCACATGATTAATGAGAAATCAACCAAATGGAACCATTCAAAAGATTTGTGTTGAGAAACTTTGCATTACTAATTTATGTATATAATTTATGCCTCAGCATGAAGCCAGCATTCTTCCAATTTTTTTGTATTTTACATTTTTGTCAAATCAAAAACTCCCTTTGCACATAAATCTTTACTTGAAAATTTTCATTTCATTTTTGAAAGAATTTTATGAAAAAAAAAACCAAAGAAGTAAACTTTCCCATCACGACCTATTTTAATTCCAGTAATAACACCACGCATTAATATGCAGTTCATAAAAAACGTCACATCTACTAGAATCTTCCCATCATCAAGGTTGCGAATATTACGAGCACTACTTTGATTTTAGAAATGGTAAGTTTATTTTTGATAACCACTAATTTATAGCCAAATAAGTAAAATACACCATCCCACAGCTACCGAATCTTTAGTGTTTCATGTACTCGAGTCATCTTATCAAACATACTGTTTTCATGGTAACGTTTTAGCTTCAGTTTAAGAAACTTTAAATACTGAGAAGGGAAATAATGTACCAGGACAGAGAAGGCATTGATCGTCATCGTATTTTCAGAATGAATACGACTTGTACGTGGTGCAAGCATTTCATTACGTGAAGGCATCGTGCATTGTTGCGTTCCATTCAAAGGCTTTTGAGGCGGTATCAGTTCTTCTATCTTTTCAATCTCTTTAAAAATTGCCAATAAAGAGAGTGGAGATTCTCCTCCTAATTTGCCATCTCGTGAAGTACTATGATTAATGCGCTCATCAACGACATATTCATGCTCTATTTTGTCGCAGCTAATGTTGCGATCCACTGTGTTTGGAAACAACAACCAAGATTGTGATACTTTAACTTCGCAGTTACTATCAACATTTTCGTTAATCAAAAATGGATTTTCAAGCGCAGCTATCGCAATGGCACCTCCACGACGTAAAACGCTTCTCATCATCACTGCTAGCGACCAACTCCTGCAAGTGAGACATTCAAATATCTTCAATATTTTGAGCTACAAGAAGTCCAATACAATCTATATAATGATTTCAACTTATCCAAACAAGTACCAACTGAGCACAAAATCATCCCTAATTTAGTTGGAACTCACTTAGCTAGAACAGTCGCAGCATGCTGTGATTCTGGAAGTACTGCTCCATTAATAACACATTCCAATGAAACACTGAGACTGGAAGGTGGCAGAGCAACACGAGCTAAAATTTATCATTTCTATTCTCCGAAGAAACATTCAAAATCAATCCTTTTAACTGACATGATACAGAATAATGTGAAAATTCTTTTTTTTAACAATAAAAAGATACTATTTTTACTAGCTTCAGCTTATGAGCTTTAAATACTGAGAAGGGAAATATACTGTACCAAATAATGCAATTAAAATACAGTAAAAGAAAAATAATGCTTTAAATCATTACCCATGAAAAGATTTTTCTTTAGGTAAAACTGAAGATCGAAATGATCGATATACGAAGAAGCAATGTGAATATCAACGATATTTTCATCAATGCATGCACTGCGATTATGTGCTCTTACAAGACTTTCAAACAATGCATTATGAGCTAGCTGCGATCGAATGATACCCACCACACATGTAATGTCTTGCAAATGAGCGAATGATACCTTAAAAGATATCAAGTTATAAAAACTTCAAAATCACAGTGATCTATAAGACAAACATTACATCTTTTGGATCTTAGCCCTCCACATACTTCCAAATATTCTTGCTAAATAATTAAAATAGATATTTAGATGTAGCTCAATTCACCTCTCTCAAAATACCATCCTCTTTTGAACGTGTCATTGAATTATCCAAAATATAGTGCTGTGTGGAACAACCTGGTAAGCGAATAAAAAGATCAGAGCATTTCTGAAATTCTTTCTAAAGATATGGGACGTAGTGAAACAAAATTTGAAAAGAACTTAAAAAGCATACATCATGAGCTAAAAATCAATTTTTAATATTACACAGTTTGCTGCTTTTTTTGAAACCAAAATATCTGTATCAAACGCAGTTTGCTTTTGTATGGATATGCGGTGTTAAAATACTTTGTTGTTTACTTTCTGCACATAAAAGTTTAAAAACCGAAAAAACAGAAATATACGCACCTCTTTTTCATCCAGCAAATATTGATACAAATTATATGAACCTTCGACATTTAGATGAACTGAAGCGATTTTTGAAAGTTTTTTAATGGCAGGCGATGAGAATATAATTGGTCTCGAAAACTTCAAGCAAAATGAGGCTTGTACTTGGCGACCAGAAATGTTATTACGCCATTCTCCACTGCAAGAATGTTATGGCAATCAATTAACGTTGAACAAGATATATATAGAAACTTTTTAACAAATATGATTTCAATATACAAGAAAAAAATGCAAACTGGGAAAAAATTGTGCTGTCCGCAAAAAAATTGGGTGTTGAACATGATGTAATACACAGCTGTAGATACGGTTCCACATCATACAATACTGAAATTAATTACAATACCTCGCGTCTAAATATATTCATTTTTATGAACAATATAAAGTGGAACATTGGCTTCAAATGATGTCAAGTGGTCAAATATAAAAATTTACCTTGTTCACTGGTAGGAGATATGATACGTCCCAAGTCATGATTCAAAAATATTATTGGCTCAACAAAAGGATATATTGTGAATGGAGTGGATTCAGTTCGAGGCCTACAATAACCCAAAATTCCACCATTAATCTGGTCAAAAATTGATGTAGCATTTCCGGACATACTCAGAAGATCTTTTTCTGCACATTCCAATGATCGCAAGCAATGTGCTTTTTCATCTCTGAATAAGAATCTTTATTTTAAAATGAAAGTATAATAAATACTGAGAACAAACAATCAAATGAAGATATGTGCGAGAAATGATGGGAATCGAAACATTGAAAGTTTGTGGAGGAAAACAAAAGCATGAAATTACCTTGAAAGTTCGACAGGCACAAGATGAGACATTGTTGCTAGTGCTGTATGAACAAGATCCCATCTATTACGTGAAATGTATAGTCGAAGTATTTGCGTTTCAACTGCTCGTTCACCTGACCACGAAATTGAGCAACTAATGATTTGCTGGCTTTCAGAAGAAACAGTGATTTCCAGTGTAAAATCTGCATTTCTTATTTTGTAGAATCCCTGATGAGATTGAAAATCGCTGCTAAAATAGCAGATCACCAAATTATGACGCTTTAAATACTTCATAGAATTCTGAAAAGACAGTCTCAAGCTTAATTATTCAAAGCTATATACCATGAAATAAATAATTCGAAATAAATTTTCATAGAAGTAGCAACAACATATGCCATGCGCATTCAACAAAGGGACCTGTCGTATGAAAAGTGTATTTTTATTGGTTCATGATAGAAAGAAAAAAACATTCTACATACGATAAACTTTCAGCAAGTTGTCGAAGATGTGTAGGTAATTCGCGATTACTATCCGATGGCATATGTTTTCTCATATCAGCAGCTGCTTGCACTAAATCTTCTCTGTCATCAGCGCTTAACATAAAACGCTTTTCCTAAAATAAGCTTGAAATCAGCTGCCTAATGCGACGCATTTTATACTGTTAAAAAAAAATCCAAAATAGAATATTTATATTCGAAAGTGAAACCACAGATTCTCAATCATCTAAAGGTTCAGACACTTCAAATTCTAAAAGCTCTGAAACTTTTTTTGGCTAGAACTCACCATCAGATTCCGACGTAAAAGCTGAGAAAAATAATCCCATGTGAATTTGGTAGATGTTTGCCGAATTTTTTCTAGCCGAATTTCTTCTTCAACCTCTTCAAGACTAATATCATCTGTGTAATTCTTTCTAGATCGTTTACCGCCGACTACAAGCTTCTGCTCTTGTCTTTCAGTTTGATTCCCGACTTCCATTCCTAAAACTAAAACTTACTTTAACTCAAATATTTTGTTCAAAAATCAGCATTTTAGTGTAAACTTATCAACAGCGATACCAAAGCAGGATAAATCATTTTAAATAAATCAATTGAATAACTAGTAATGTAAGGGAGTGAAAGAAGAAAATTAAAAAAGTAATGTCATGAATACATGAAGACCATTGACCAAATTCTAAATAAAATCCATAAATGCATGATACACCGACAATGCTTGAATGGCCAGGTCATAAAACATGGGGTAGAAGGAATGCAGCGCTTTTCAAGAATCAATATTAGATTGTTAACATTAATAGGACGAACCGTTTTCATAATGTGACGTTAAAATAGCTGTGGGCAATCATTTCCCATTTGAGTGGTTTAGTAATGGTGAATAGAGAGAAATCATAATTGTGTCATAATTGTGAAGTGGGCGGTGTGTGAGGGTTCATAGGGTTACGTGATAAATCTTAGATCTGCAGCGCTTAATTGTTGTTGGGAAAATAAAAATATAAGCAAGCTTGTGATTCCTTTTTGAAAAGAAAGCGAAATAATGTGTTGCTGATCAAGTTTGTTGTGTTTTTTGTTGTTGTTGAAGACATCATTACATTCAATTCCGCATGTTTCTACGCAAAAGCTCTTTGATCGCACTTTCGTCCAATTTGTGATGAGATGGAAAGTAATCATTGAAGTATGACCACGTGAGAATGCTTTACGGAACCTTGATGAGAATCACTGCTCATAATCTTTTGTGTTCAGTTATTGTTTATTGACAAGTTTTACTTGTTCTAAGATTGCTTTTATGTTCTACATTATCAACTTTTATGTTTTGGACTATTTTTTGCATTACCTGGCGTTTAAGATTCAGCCTTCATTTGCTAACTGAGTTATCATATTAAAAGTTTGACAGATTTATTACTAGCACACAGGGACAGGAAATCAGAGCAAATGAAGTGGTTTGAAGGCAACATTACTGAAGCAATAGCACAAAGTCACGAGCAAAGAATACCTTTCGTGGTCATGATCCAGCATCCTTTCGGTAATATTTTCTGAATTCAGCTTGGAAAGGGAATTACTAAGAAGATAATCGCTTGAAGCTGTAAAAAAAAGGTCCCTATTCGGGAATCTACCGCTGAATCATAGTAATTCATGCTATTCTTTTTTATGAAGTAATTGTAAAAACATTGTAAAGAAATTCAAATGCTAGGCTTCTACGTAACTGCAGTATGACAGCCATGATAGAATATAGTAAATACTCTGGGTCGCTCACGACAACACATTTCAGAGAGTCATGATGAACAAAGCATACGCATGTCTCGGCTTTGGGAGAAAGTTGGCAACAATATTTGTCTGTCATCTTTAATTGGCATAAGAATTTTTAGTGGCACAGAAACAGCTAGACAGTTCACCCAGATTTGTTAATTTTTCTTCCTGTATTTGGATAGAGAGATGGGGCATCCCGTAAATTTTTTAAACTACCTGTGTTTCACTTAGTTTAAAAGTGTTGTAATGTTTCAGACTTTGAAAATATTTCAATCCTTTATCTAAAAGATTATATATTTGAAGAATTTGGTTTTAGATCCTGTATCAGTTGTGCCGTCATGTTACATTATTGACTTAAATGGAAGACCTATAGAAGTCATCACTAATTCCAATGAACTAGATGAAAATACCCTTTTGCAAAAACTGAAAACTGCTTATAAGGTAAACAGAAGAATTGATACAGGTCTATTTTGTCCTTTCATCCTCACTATGTTCTATTTATTCAACTAGATTACAGCCATTATTTCTTGTCATGTGGAAAAATACTTCCAAAAAGCAGTGTAGCAGCCTTAGAGCTCATCAATGTTTCAGGACTTCATACCTGAGCATTCTTCACTTTTTTTACCTGTAGCAGATCAATCGCATAAGAAAGAAAATCAAGAGGATCAGTCAGCTGGTTTTATGGAGGATGATATGAAGAGGTACCTTCTGTTTTCAGTAAGTAAAATGCGGTATATATTTTTTTAGTTCACTTGGATTTCAATTTCATAAAATCATTTCGTTACTCGTCGTAAATAGAACAACGTTTCATGTAAAAAATTTGTTAGGGATTCAGAGCTCATCGAAAAAAAATGTATAGAAGACGAAACGATGAGAAAAAATGATGGAATACAAGGACAATTTCAAAAAAGGAATTCAGGAAAGTTGATGGCGGAAGCAGAAGTTAGTATATTAAATTTATGCATATTTATATGTATATGTAAAGCACTCGACATTCGACCGTTGTATCGAAAGCAGCGAAATTGAGTGACAGGGGAGTACAGCAAGAGTTTGGAACACAGTGCAGCGAGAGAATACAAAAAAAGAATAGCCTCCGAACTGTGATATGTATATAAACTCAGAATTATCTCCAGGTTTAATATTAGGCTCAAATTTTTGTTGTAAATTTCGTGTAGATTTTCCACTCTTTATCATGATTAAGCTTTTATTGCATTGAAGATGTCATGTGAAAGGCAAAAAAGAATCGAGATTGCGAAACAAAGGAAACGCCATGAATGTGAAGAAGCGTACCTCAAAAAACTTCGAGAACAAATTAAAGCAGATAAGTTAGTGTTAGAGGTGAAAAGTTTAATGTTTAATATATGTTAATGTAGAAAATCGCTTGTATAACTGGGAAAGAAGAATATTACAGAATGGAACGAATGGAGGCAAGATTGTTTAGTACATCGAAACAGAAATGCGAAGCAGAGCCTACAAAGCATCAAACTGGAATTCCTAATAGGTAATTCTGACATTTAAATTAGTAAAATAAAGTGCTTATCCGTGATTTTGAAATCATTTAATTACTCAGTGTTTCATCAATGAATCGACTAACGTTTGTGCAAAGTATAACACTATCGTAATTCTTAGTGCCGACTGTCGTATTCTGTGCAGATTTTCGGATGGTTCTACTTTGGTGCATAATTTTGCTTCATCTGATACTTTTTCCCAGCTTGTAGAGTTAGTTGAAAAGGTATATCAACAAATATCCTATTTTTTTTCTATAATGATTAATTCATTTCTAAACATATTACATTATACCGTTTGTGATTCAGTTTCTAAATTTTTTTGAAGGACGGACGCGGGGGCAGCGATTTTTATTTGGTGCAAATGTATCCAAGAAGAGAAATTTCTGACTTCACCCAAACATTTTCTGAACTTGGTTTAATACCATCGGCAACAATGCTCGTAGTTTCTGTAATCTTTAATTTTTAGAAATAATTGTTGCATTTTAATGTTGTGAAATCTTTAATTATTTATATATAAATATCTTGCATTAAAACTAGTCAGTTTTTGACAATATTTACTGCAGTAAACGACAGTTGGGGACATTTATTTCTTATTTTTTTCAAACTGTTTGGTTCAAAATTAAATTTATATGTCTTCAGAAAATAGTGAGACTTGTTATATTTTTTTGCCAAGTTATTTCAGAAACGTCATCAAATAGTAGCTAATTACAATGGTTTGAAATGGATCAATTTTATTCATTATGCTGTTATAGCTCCGTTTCAAGCTTTATACCGTATCATCCTTTACATTGTTGGATATAATAATTCTCCGGAAGAATTCAGTTTAAGAAGTTCCATAAATACTACAAAAAACAGTGTCCATATTTCAAGAAAAGATGGTCAACAACAGACAAACCATATCAGACAGGTTGGCTTAGAAATGTTAAGATCCTTACCAACTTGTTATGGAGACTCTTATATGAGCATTGTTGTTTGTAAAGTTTTCACTAAGCTGATTTAGAATGGAGGCATACATAGATTTCGTAATAAAGAAGATTCGTCAAATTCAGATGATGAAGGAAAATGGAATGGTAATTCAACTCAGCAGCTGTAATTTCGAATTGTGGACTTCATTTTGTTTCTTGAGACTATTTATTCATGCAGTTGTACATGGTCGTATGTTTTTGAATTTTTGCTGGTAATCGCAACTTGCATCCATTGTTTTAGAATAGTAAAGTGATAAAACTAGAGTATTAATTGATTTATTATTGATGTACTATTAAAGACTTGAGAAGATGAAGTGTCTGCCACATTCAGCATACAGAAAGTTAAGGAATTAATAGTCTCATTTATTTGCTGGAAAGTAAACGACAAGTCATATAAACGGTTGACGTGCAGTGAACTAAAAACCATTCTAGCATTTTTTTTTAGTTACTTCCAGTTCGTTGACGAGCTTGTTGACAAGCTTCAATACTTCTCTATCTTTATTTTCAAATTTTCCCCTGTAAGTCAGCAAGCCTTATTTCTATGGCGTGGTTACCGAGTTAGTTATATAGTTAGGGAACTTTGGTACAGTAAAATGTGAACTGGAAGATGTCACTATACTTAAGTTATTTCATTGGAACAGTAACCTCAATTAAAGATATGTACATACACGAATTCATACACACACACACGCACAAACCCACTCATCTTATTGAATAGAATGCAAAGGTGCTACCGTTCGTTGATTGCTGCGATTGTTGCCATCGTAAGCTAGCATGCTACACAGAAAGCTGCATGCGGGTGCAGACATACAGATTGAATTATTTGGACATTAATGCAGATACGATCAAAGGAGAGAGGAAAAGTGTAGAAGGGAGGAAATTTTATATGGCATAATTTTTGGAGCAGTAGAGAGTAATGTGTGTGCACATGTGTGTGTATGTGTGTGTGTGTGTGACAGCTGAGAGTTGGCTCAAAGTATGATGGCGATCAGCTGGCGATTGGCGAAGGATGATGCATTGGTGAATGGGCAGTGCTACACCGAACTGTTCTACTCGTTGCTCGCTCGTTCTTGCTTCTGTGTCTGTTGTTTCTCACGTATTACGATGCTTGTTGCACTCGTTTCATGCGTGGATTTGTCAACATTCGCATTTACGTTGTACATGATTTCTTTTGTTTTTACGTTCCGCTCTGTCATTTACTTTTATTTAGCAACAGTTGATTGTATTTATTACTGAGCATTACAAAAGATATGACGATGGAAAATTTGATGAACACTTTATATTCATGTCATATTTCAGTGAATGCATGTATAACTCACGGTTCGCTGATGATATGTCAAGAGTCTGGGCAGTTCACTTTCTACTTTTAAGTAAATATACGTATCAACTTTATGCTTGTTTCGCCTAATCTCTTACATTTTATTTCACGCTACTGAGCATGGGCATGGGCATGGGCAGGGGCATGAACCCAGCAGAGCACTTCATTCTCTGCAACCTTTTGTATTTGTACAGTGCAACAAGTGTTGCAGAAGTTATCACTTGTCTCTCTCATGCTTGTTCTACGCAGTAACTAATTCTGCCGGATATTATATTGAATGTTGCTGTTTATTTATCATTATTATTACTGTTATTGTTACTATAGTAGTAGTAGTAGTAGTGTAATATTTATATTTGTATATAGTTCATTTCTTGCTGACTTGAGGGACACATGTCAAATGTAACCTACATGAAACTTTTAGTTTTTTTTAATTTTGATTTTTGCTTTTACGTCGGTAGTGTTTAAGAATCATAGTGCCAATAGCGTTTCTCTACAGATTTCCATATCTTCCAGTTTTGTAATATGCGTGGTATTATAATTACAGCAAAAAATGAAGGACGCGTATGCGACAAATCCAGAGAGTACTATCACCCATGGCATAACGATGTTAAAAACTAAAAGCAGTAGTTGTAGCACGGATGATGAAGAAGAACATTTTGCTAGAAGGTTTAATTCACTTTCTTCTTCCTCTTCTGACATCACTAGTCACACCAATGATAACTGTAGCATGAATTTGGTTTTTATTCTTTGTTTTGATTGAAATTAGCAAATACAATATTAAATATGTAAATGCAAATAATTCGGTTGGATAGGAAATTATTTTGACATATCTCTTGCTGCTTATTTTAAAGAAATAAGAAATGAGAAGAATTAAGTTTTGTTTTTGTAACAGCATAATAACCAACATAGTAATCGAAAGTTTTATTTCGGAATCAAAAAGAGATATGCAATGTGAGACTTGCGATCATATATTATGGTCATGCCATCTGGAGGCATTACATGATTACTTAGTATATTTATTGGCAGGGTCAGATTACTCTCTCATATCATCAGTTCACGCGACTGATGACATGTTAAACTCGTGAACTGTGAGATCACAAATTGTCATAAGGTTGTTATTTGCCATGGATTCTGAGCATTCAGTGCTTGGTGCTATCAAATTATTTTTAACTGATTTGTTTGCTCATCCACCTTAATGTAAATAACTATTAAGAGTACGAAATTCGTGACCTTTAATATTACCACTCATCAGCAAAATGAGATTGGCTTATGTTGAGTTTTTTCGATGTAAATTACGATATACAAATCAGAATTACCACCATCCTTATGTGAATAACTGTTAAGTACGACTTGCGATTACCTCCTTTTTATTTTTTTAGTATTTGTCCCCTTTTTTGGGAAAAAACTGACACCTATTTTCGACAAAAGTAATAAAACAGTTTATGAGAAGAGGAGTGAAGAAGTTCAATGTAGTAAATGTACTTTTAACATTAGTGACAAGAATCCTGTCTTGCCTTTCACATGTATTAATTTCTTGCTCAACTTTTCATGCTCGCTGCTACTGAACTAATTTATAGTAACGTGTACTAGGAATAATAACTGGTCCTACATCCAACCTTTTCATATATTGCATGCGTTTTCTTCGACTCGTAAGTATAGTTTTTATTTTTCATCATCTAATATCATTTGCACCTCTTGATGGTTTCAAAATTGAGAAGTGATTCTCGTATGTTGTGCCCAAAGATAAACTTGTCATCTCTTCTTTATTTTATTAAAAAATATAAATGTTAAAAGTGAAATCACTTCGTTTAGATAGCAAAGAATTGAAGACAAAAAAACCTGCTAGTGTTTTACTTTCAATTTATATGCCTTCATGTTCTGATATTCGCTTAATTATTGCATAAATTTGGCAGGTCTGTCATTCCTCAGGGATAACTTACAGTGGAAAGAATAAGATAGTAGTATTACCAGATTTGGATGTTCTCGTAATATTTGAGAATTTATCTTCCGTAATTTTTAAGAAATTAAAGGCAATACATGTGCTATTTCATTTACAGTATTTACCTTTGAATCATTTTGATATACTGTTGAGCATCTTGTGTCATCTACTTGCGACTTTTTTAGCTGAAAATAATCATTAGCTAATATTGTCCGTCGTGTCTGAGGTAATACCTTTGTCTGTTCATTACTGACTTGTTTAAAGTTTATTATTTTTAAGATCCAGTTGTGGATTACTACTTTCTCTCCTATATTTCCTGTTTAAATCCTGTTCTGTACTTCATATATAGCTTCAAACTTGGTATATAGCTTCAAACTTCAATCTTCAGAGAGTCTTTCATTATTGCTTCCAGCGAATCGCCATCATATCATACGGGAAGTAGCGAACCACCGAATGATCTCATTTTGCCGCCGATGGGCGGTAGTATCGATACCTCAGATAGACGACTTCGACGTCAAATTGCCAACTGTAACGAACGTCGACGTATGCAAAGCATCAACGCTGGTTTTCAATCATTGAAGTTGTTATTGCCCCGAAGAGATGGTGAAAAATTAAGTAAGGTATGTTTTTTTCTCTCTCAAACTTGAGATGATGTTAAAGACTGCAAGTGACGTATGAGAAATAAAAATTGAATGTGTACTCAATCAGTGACATAAGTAGGCGAATAAGAACTAATTTTTTCACGTAACAGGTAATTAGCTTATTGAAAAGAGTGCGTCATGATACTTTCTACATATGTCTTTTTCAGATTGCTCTTTGCTGAAAAAATAAAATCTGTAGTTTCAGGCTGCTGTTTTGCAGCAGACAGTGGAATTAATTCAAACATTACGAGCCGAAAAAATGAAACTGATCGAGGAGAAAGAATCAGTTATCAATGCCAAAAAGCGAAAAATTCAAGGTTAAATCTGAATAAATGGAAAATGACACTGTTTCAGTTTATTAGAGATAAGTACTACTTTGGTATTATTCCTCATCAAAAAAATTTTAGGTGCATAAACTATGACTCAGAGATCTGTATTGTAATTTATGAATTGCAGGGTAATGAGTCAAAGTGTTTAATATATTTGACTTCATTACTCATTACCAGCATGTTGTAGAAAAATTACTTTGTTTTTTTTGATATTATTATGATATATTCCAGATGAAAATACCAGAGAACGTAGTATTATCGATGAATTAACGACCGCTCTCGAATATGAACGTCGGTTGCGTCAGCTATATGAGCGCGTGTTAAATTTATGGGTTCATTCTCCATTCTTCTCTCATTTACTGTTAAAGCCGAGCGGCTCACTCATCAATTCTGCAGTTGCCTTGCAAAACATGATACCTCCTCTTTTACAGGATCGAGGATTTACAGGTTTTAATTGAACTTTGATGCAGATTTCTAACTACATAACCAAGTTTTATAGCCTTTCATGTAACGTGATTTGACTTATGTCTTTCTTTTCTTTTGTTGTGATACTGCTATTTTCTTATTATAATTATATCGAGAAAAAAAGGAGTGCAATTGGAATTAATTATAATATCACTCTATTCAATTTGGTGAATTTTGGTTTCCATCCAATTTGACCTTGTTGAAAATGCTATAGATTGGTTGCTTGTATTTTCGCTTTGCATATATATGCGACCATGGTGGTGACGTAATTGCTTTCAGGACTTGTATCTCCCTCGCTTTTTATTCACAGTTTGCTGAACAGCGCAGGAGTAATTAATAACAGAAGTAATGGGAGCAAAGTTGATGATATGGAAAATGGCACTGGTCAGCAGCAGCAGATGGCGAACATTGATGTTATCAAGCTATCAAGTAATCCAATGACAGAAGTACCAGGGACATTTACACAGCTTACAGACAGCTCAAAGTCAGCATCCCATCGCAGTCAGCCAGCAGCAGTCGATTTGCTTACACAGCCTCCACCATTCTTCTTTAATTCTGTGAGCAATACAAATACGACTACAAACTTGAATCCTAACTTCTACACTATTCTTGAAGCGATTCGGCAGTTAGAAGAAAGCACTTCCGGCGATCTTAGTGATTCCAAAGTAAATCAGCAGAAACAGCAGCAGCAAACAAATGTACTGGTCCGCTAAATCAATGGATGTGATAACAAGTGAATAATGTGGGAGATAATGCATTCGGTATACTTAGTACGTAGCTGTTAGTATATGAAGAGATGTGCTTGTTTCATGAGTCAGATCTCGTCAACTTTTTTCATACATTCATTTTTTCTTCCTAGTAATAATGCTTCGTTCGCTTTACCTCGGTGAATCATCATTATTGTAGTGTAATGCACTGCCGTAGACAGCGACACGCGCGCTTGCCTATTATTGTTGGAAACATTGTATATTTGCCTCCTTGTATTTTCTTGCAATTGTCGACATCTAAGAAGTCATTTCTTGCTGGAACTTGAAATTTCTATTAATAGCATGCAATACACGTCGCATTTGTCTTGTATATACTATATCAAGTAGTGAAAATCTCCGGGAAGAAAACTCGGTGTGATTGCAATGTGCGACAGTGCTTATGATAAAAATTGCGCTTTCAATAATTTAAATGATAAGAGATTTCTCCATATGTTTGGAATTATGTATAGGATCATTTTAGCATGTTTTAAGGTAATGGCTTTGTAGATTAATAAATGATTCGATAATGTGATAAAAATGAAATTATTGTGGATTAATTTTGTAATATTTCCTTCATTTTCTGTGCTCTTCATTTTGACGGTTTCTTTATGCAATGAGTGTTGCGCTGCTGCTGTGCTTGTAAGGGTTTCTTTATTCAGTTCTTTGGATACAGGTTTTATGCTTAACATTTTCACAGACAGGCAAGCTAAAATGTTCTCTTGCTGTTATTGCCAAAATATCTGTGGTTTTATTTTTATGTTTGGAGAATGACAACTAGCCATTATTTTCATGTTTGTTCCTCTTTTAATTCTATTTTACTTTGTTATTGGTTGACTACTAAAGTATAGAAGTTAAATTTCTTCTATTCTCTCTCTGTCAGTGTGTGTTCCTTTTCCGAGAAATGAAGTTAGGATTATCTATAAGATTTGATATTTGTTCTCTTTTTGCGCTCTGGTTTCTGTCCTCGTTTCTCGCAAAACAAATTTCTGCAGGTCGCTCAGAAGGACCGTTCAATGGGAGTATCAGTAGTCATATTCAGGTGGCAAGGTGCCAAACCAAGTATAGAAAATGGATAACTTTATCAATTTGAAAGACCCTCCTTAACTTTATCAATTTGAAAGACCCTCCTTCTCAAGTTCGCCTACGTTTTTTGATGTCATTCACTAAAAAAGTAGTGCAGATTCTATGTAGGTTGATGAATCTTTTAAAATGGAAGGATTTAATTAAGTACGGTGTATCAAAAAAGTTGAGTATTGTGGAGCAAAGTCGGTCAAGATTTTGTTGGTTTATTTATGCATTCTTGAGTTGGGGCTATGATAAAATTAATATTCGAGAGCAAAGAATTGTAATAACTGCTTGGGATCATAGTTCATCAAGAGGTCATTGAGTTCATCGATTTTGTTTTTACCACATCTTCCACACATTCGCTCACGATCTCAAAATAAAAGTATAGTGAGAAGTTCATTATTGTAAAGCGAACTTTAAGTTTGATTTCTTTTGCAGTGTAAATGCTGATTAATGGAAGTAGAGCGCGTTGTCTGACTTCATACTCTATTACTTGACTGTTTTGACACTTCTGAAAACTTGAGATAATTTTGAATTTAATAGCAACTATAGTTTTAAGTGTTCTTTACCATTGTAAAGGTTGACTATTATATTCTTAATGCGACCGAATTCTTCGTTATGGGAATTGATTTCACGGTCGATTTGTTCTGAAGACTCCACAAGTTCTTTCATATCTGCGGTAAAATTTGATAAGTCTTGAACATTATCCAATAATTCCTGGAGAATAGATGTTTTTTAAGAATGTAAGAATGATAGATATATGTATTTATACATAATAAATATATGCCCTAAACAAATTTAAGGAAGGATTCTAATTTTTTCAAAGAATAAGTAATTTGGAGACAGAAATGATATAAATTGAGTGAAAAGGCAGAAGGGAAAGAATACTTTGGTTCCTCGGTAAAGTTTTAGCTTTTTTGTCAAATTGATATATTGATCAAGTTTAGGATGAAGCAACAGCAACACGTGCGCAACGCTTTCCTCTTCTAATTCTAAAATGGTAGGCGACAGAATATGCATTTAATTTAAAATTATTCTTGAAACATTTTCAAAAAATAGCATGCGAGCGAGATTCTCTGCTTTTATTCAAATGATTTATCTATTTAATTCCGTTAAACGAATAACACATGATTCAATCAATTTCATGAAATTGGTCAGTCACCATGCATTATGGATAGTAATAAATTGAGCAAAGCGAAATTCTATTAAAGATAAAAGTTGGACAATAATGTATTTGTTCTGAGTTAAATGACTTGACGCGTTACTTCACTATCCTTCCTTTGATTACAAAAATAACTGCAAGATTTTATCAATTCAAATTTAATTTCTTGTTTTGTTAATTCGAATTTAATTTTTTGTGCAATAAATTTAATTAGATTAAGCCTGTTACAACTTACTGTATTGAATGTCAACCTTAATTTGTCTTTTGGTTATTTCTTTACTCAAAACATCCCGAATGATAGTTATTGTAGAAATATTGTCACTCTGAAAAACAGCTGAACCACGGCTGAAAATAATATCTTATTCGTCACTTTAAAATTAATATAACTGCAGTAATTATGGCTACAATTTTAATAATACTTTGATTAAGAAGTAATGATACAGCTTGGAAAATGATACATGTATTAATCATAATAAAAGTAAGATAGTCTTTTCTGAAAAAAAAACAAGTTAGACTAGTAATTGTTAAAGCGATAGGCAATTGAAATGGTAATAAATTTATGAAAACAACTTCTTGTCTGATTCTCAAATCAATGAACTCGTTATGAGTACTGTCAAAATTTGCTCGAAATTGATTCGGATTAAGTGTGATGAGAAATCGAAAAATACGATTGATTATGTATATTCGAAACTACTTTTATCTTACAGTAAATTACACGCAAAAAAAAAGTCGCATAAATTCTTGAAGAAGCTTTGCTAGTCCTGGCAAATGTGTTGTTGTCAAGAAGACTAACAATTAACTGTTTCATTAGTAATTGTTCTACTTGGTGTCACTTTAAAATGAGCACGTGGTTCTCTTCGTTTTGACTCAGCAAAATAGAAAAAAACAAAGTCAAAAATTAAGTATCTCGAGGAGATTTAATAGTGCAATTTAAAAATAGTTCAAATTATATTGGAGAACGAAGTGAGATCGCTGAATGTACTCCGTTAACAAAGTAAAACAGTCATATAACTTACGTGATAATTAGTAATGGATCAATTAATATGCATATATTTAGTCATTTTTGAATATTTTGATCAACTTCTTGTTCTTATACTTTTTTCTTGAGCAATAAGTTCATCGAGAAAGAAACAACTTTCTATGCTAACCTGTAGATTGCTTGCATTTGTGTTCCAGTAAAGGCTGAACAGAAATTAAACGTAACAAAATTTTGAGTTGGAGATCGGTCTGGAATATCTAACAAAAGCATGCGTAACCACTGGTGTGCTTCTGCTAACGTGAAGTTTCCATTTATTTTCAAGACATTAAGTGGTAGTGATGAATCGAATTGATGCACTCGGTAATGCAGCATAAGAGGTTTTATTTCATACGTACGAACCTATGGAAGCACATGACTATCGTTTATTAATTCTTCTTAGCAAAAATCAGCCTATTATTTTGAGAAGAAAAAACGATACACCAAACTTCATCTTTTTTTTAAAAACTTTTGTACTGTTTTTATTAATTGGATGACAAATACGTGGAGCGCTTGTAAATAATTTTCTTTCAGTTGTACAATGAATGCATGGTTCGACTTCATAGCACCTTCTCTTAAATTTGATTCCTAGCAAATATTTTTCCTATTTTCATCACGTTTCCGATGCTTCTTGACTACAAACACAATTTACTGCAGTTCTCAATGTTTTTCATTAAAAAACCAAAAAAGCAAAAAAATACCTGACATATTCTAGGGTAAATTTTTGGGCAAATGTAAGCACGAAGAGTTCCATATTGTCCTTCCACTGAACGGATTCCAATTTCGATTCTCGTAGTGCTTGTCTGACAGCGATATGTTGCAAGTAATGCGTTTTTTGACTAAAGTTTTATTAATGAGAATTCTACAGATTGCTTTAAGTTTACTTGTTCAGTTTAAAATTACAAAATATACTTAGACAATTAGCAAGAATGAATAAGTAATAATGAAAAAATTGAAATGAAAAATTCTCCAAAGGTTGGTGTGACTGAAATAACTGCTGAATTCTTTTCATCGTCAAGAAGATCCACTGGTACATCACTCTGTAACATTTAAACCAGTAATTTGATATACGCAATATATCCAACTTATGAATACCACAAATAATTTTAGCATCATGGAAAATTGAATGTGAATCAAAAATTACCTGAAGTAAAACGTAGTCGATGGGAATGATCGAATCAATAACTAACAAAAAACAAGCAGTTTTCTTACTAAATTTGTACTGATCGTGAATCATGAATCGTGGCGCTGTTACTGGAACAATACCGTCTTGTGAAATTGTTTCGTGGTATTTTTGACGTTCTTCATAAACTTTTCGTTCTAATTTCTCAAGCTCACTTCTGCAAATTTTCAAATAAAAACTATATTACCAACTTATTGGATGTTAAAAACATCAGTGGAGAACTGGTAGAAACCGTAATTCAGTTTGAAATGGATCAAAAAAAAAAACTCATTAATTATCATATAATTAAATATCATTAATTATTATATTGATTATCATATTGGTTTGACTGAAAATTAAACACTTGATGAGGGAAATGATTATTGGAATTAGTAAATTGGTATTCTTTTTTCAGGTAAAAAATGTGCACTATTATTGTATACCTCAGTTCTTGAACCTTGACCTCTATTTGAGGTGACAAGGCTATCATAGAATCAATCGACTTCCTCCTTATAGGCTCGGTAGTAAGGGCGAAAACCCACCCGGTACGAGAGCAAACAATAATTTCGTCAAAATCAGGCGATGATACTCGACCACACTGGATACTGGCTATGCATTCTTCACATTGCTGAATAAACAAATACTCTTTTTTAAAAATCCTTTTATTATTTAAGTAGTAATATACTTTCCCGCTTTCAGTAATCTCATAATGTAAGTTATGAGGTGAAAACGTTTTCTGCTTAAAAAATCGAGCAAATACCTAAACTTTATTGACTACAAATATTGAAAATCAAAAAGAAAAACACGAGTGAAATAATCACAAAATGCACAGAAAAACTTGCATAACTTTTGTAAAAAGTAATTTGATCAGTTTGGTCGACAGTATAAATTTCAATAAGGCCATCTTCTTTGCCAATGATAATATCTGGTGTAGATCTTCCAGTCAAGCAATAACAGTTTATGCAAGTAACAGCTGAAAGTAATCCCTACCACTTTTCAGTCTTGAAGTTTTAATAAGCAGAAATAGGTTAGCATAAGCAAAAACTAAATCCGCTAATTATTTTCAAGAAATAATTTTGACTTTAAACTGTCAAATATTTTCAAAAGCAACCAAAATCACTCACCCATATCATTTTATACCATTACTATATTTTTATTTGCTATTTAAAAAGTGGTAAATAAATATTGGATTCCATACCGCTTGAGCTTTTTGTTGGTACTTCCCAAATCAATATTCCATTTTCTGGTGGCAATTCAAGTAGTCCAATATTACCATCTTTGGTGCCATACAAGACTTTTTGCTTACTGAGGCCTGTAATGCTACGATGAGATCAATCTTGAAAGTTTCATTCGCATCAATTAACACTTTGAAAATTTTTTCAAGTTTAAAATATTTTTTAAAATGTATTAGCTCGGTAGAACTCAAATTTCAGTAAAAGAGAATATTCCATTTTGAAAAAAATTGAAGTAAAATCACCTCCATCATTCAAAAAAAGATGAAGAACGCTCGGAATATCTTTCAAGCCCACTTCATAACTTAGTTGACTACCTTCAAGTACCTGAAATTCCATCAAACTGTTTTCAGAGTCTCAATCATTTTACACTTTATTATAAGCTAATTTTTACTGAACTGTCAACATTGTAAGCTAGGCTAGATTGCTAAAAATGACTACAACAGTAATCAGAAAAATGGAACTAAAGAAATATTTGATTTAAATTAATAATAAAAAATATTTATTGGCGAACATTCAGACTTTGAGCTTAAAAAACTACTAAATTAAGTAAATACTTGATAATTTTCCAATGTCAGATTTTTTCAACATCAAACTTGATTATAGGAATTCAAACTCAGGTTTTTTTTTGAAGTACGAAAAATAAAAATACAAATACCTTAACGGTCTTATCATCACAAGCAATGATCGGAGTTATCCCTCGACCAACCCATGAACCTTCAACAACCGGTAAACAGAGAACATCGTTGATTTGATCGGTACAAAGGTAAGACTAAAAAATCATGTCATCATATCAATGTCCATTTTTACCGAACCATTTCTCTATTATTGCTGAAGTTGCAGTAAAGTGTGATTTTTTTTTTTTGCAGAAATGACAAAATTTTACAATTTTCGCAAATTTCGCTCACAAAACTTACATTAGCATCAACGCAGTCATGAAAATGGCTGAACTTTCGTTCTCCACACAGAAACATTTCAATCCCATAGATGTACCTTTATACAAAATCTTGAAAAGTTAAAATGTTTACAGTATTTTTTCGAAAACGACTTAAATTTTCATCCTTTTGCTAGTAAAAGAGTTCTAAGCTTCTCCAGCTAAAAAATGAATTCTCAAAAAAGAATGAAACATGTTTCTTTTTCTTCCAAATAAAGTGACTTACATAGATGATATTGGTTCAATCATATTAGATTCGAACCCAAAAAATTGTTTGCCCTTTTTTGTATAACCTTTGACATGATTTTCGGTTGCATAAAAAATTTTGTCTTGTATGGTTCCAAGAGCGCCACCCAAACAAATGCACATAATTTTAGGTCCATCGTTCGTTTTGAAAATGACCGGAAGTGAAATGATAAAGCAGTGAAGTGAGTAAAAAGCTATTCATTTCTGTCAACAATATATCTCACTATTTATACAATAACAAAAAATAATTTTTTAGAAATTCTTAAGTAAATTTGCCAAAAGATTTGGTTTTTGTCTTTATAACAGTGCATTAGCAAAAGTTTCAAATTTAACGTTAAGTTTGAAAAGAAGTAATCAAACGTAATTCTACACAATTCTATTTATGGTGACAAAATGATTGAAGTGTACTGCGTTTAAGTTTAAACTTTACGTCTTTATTTTATGACTTTTTATGGAGAACAATGCTGAAAAAAGAATCAAGTAAAGTAAAATTAATAAAAAGTAAACTTGCTCACTTGCGTCTCGTCGTTTTTCCGCCCAAAGCAAAGTAGCACTCCATTGTAAGCACCACAAACAATCTGAAAATTCAACAAAATATTAGCAACGAAAGGCCAAATATTTTAATTTTTTGCAAAGTAAAGAATACTTTGTCGAGAAATCTTGACTTTTTTTTCTTTGGATTTTGATTAGCAAGAATAATTTTCATTGAACGTTTGCCAGTGGGACCAATTTGGGCATAATCTATTCTGGTTAAATTGAAATCCATCTGAATATTCTTTTTCTGAATTTCTGCTTCTTAACTTTGATTATTCACACGTGAAATGATAGATAGTATGAATATGATTGATGAAAGCATTAGCTAAAGAATCTGTTTAATACGTAATAAAATTCATTACATTAATACTTGCTAATATATTCCGTTTTCATTGATTTTAACCAGAAAAATTTCAGCACTTAGTAATAACTTCTAACAAACAGATAACAATTATTTTAATCTGAAATTAAATTTGTTTGAGAAATTTACTGATCGATTACGTGTAAATTTTGGTTGCATGGCAACTCTTTGAAATGCAATAAGTGAAGAATACTAGCAGTTTTGTCTGTTATAGCTAATTCATAAAAATGTCTTACTTTCAGGAATGAATGGTATAAACGTGAAATGCATTCTGGCATTTTGCATCTGTTAAGAAATATGTAAACTGTATTCAGTTCGTTTGTACCGCACATCGTTTTTAACGTAGAAAAGCAATCGGATATTAATTGTTATTGAATTTATTTGACAGCTAAATGTTTTATTTTTCTCAACTAATCAACAAGTGGTGTTCTGTTGTTTGCGTCGAGATTTCATGAACTACACGTAGTGACATAATTGAGCCTTATGGTAAGCTTTGGAAAAGTAGTTCAAGTTTTTACTATCAGGCAAGAAAAAAGTCATTACTATGAGTACAATCCTGCAAAAACGTATCTGTACTCACAATTGCTTTTTTCTTCTGTTTTTTTCCCTTGAAATACAGATCTTTGAATATTCAATACTGAAAGAACTTGCAGAAGTCACTTCACGACTTTAGACTACATGCTTTGCGATTCTTCATTTCAATTTCTGTAATAAAGAATCGCAAAGCACATTTTTGGCATATCAATTCATTTCTTCTCATACACCGAAGACTTCTTACAAGCAAGCATATTTAATCATACAAAAAAGAATCAAAGTTATGACTGTGATAAATTATAGACTGCTTTTGAAAATTAGTAATGTCATGGAAAATATGAGAGACAGTTTGATTCTGTTTTTCAAATTCTACAAGCCTATTTGCATCGATGCAGAGTATTTTTTTGGCTAAAAGTGCTTAATACAAAATTATTATTGATTGATAATAATTTTGAAATTATTATCTAGTGTAAAATTTATACAATGTAAAATTATCTTATAATGTAAAATTTATACAATGACGTGGATCTGTACGCGGTCTCTTGATCTTCAATCTATCGTCCTTCTTCAGATTCCTATCTACTTGTACTCCCTTTTGCTGGCTGATTTTACAAACGATGGTTATCTCCGTGAATTATCTGTTCATGCTCAGCATTACCTGTTCAGAAGGATTAATTAAATCATTTTCTAGCTTCTACTTATTATTAATGAAATGTATGCTTTTTAGCTGCTATACATGCAAAAATGCGCGTTTTTACAATTTTTGATTTAGGCACGTTAATGTTTAATATCTATTTGACAATATACCTTATGATATGGGGAATAGTTCATGTTGTTGCTTACTTATTTATCAGGTAGCTCATGCACTGATTGCGTAGTCTTACATCTAGGAAAGATGCAAATTATTAGTGGTTGTTTTTTGTATAAGTTTGTCTTGTTTCAGATGATTAAAAATTGATTGATTTCAGAATTCAAGATTACCTTCCGGCAATGGAATCGCTATATGCTGCAGTTAACGAAGTCTTAAATAAGCTGAAGGCAGAAGCAATCACAGTGAAAAAGTGCTGCTCAGTCATTAAGAGAATAACAAAACATGAGGTAGATTTGTTGGCAATTTTCGAGAACAGAATGAAATGAAGAAATGTGCGAAAATCATAACTACGATATTGCGTACATTCTTTTTTACTTTTTTAAAATCGACTTTTGTGATTTTCGGATAAGTCGTATTTCGTCTTTCTCAAGAAAGCAAGCTTTACATTAATTTTAATATGATGTGTGTCAAGCTGCGGGTACTTATCCTTGTTATTATTCATTAGTGGAAAGAAGCTGTTGCAGTTTTGTTCATAACGATGCTTAAACTTTTCACTAAACGGCCTAAGGAACGTTGGTGTGATAGTGTGCAGTCAGTGAGGAGTAGCATTTTTAGTTCATAGAATGTACTCCCTCATTCTGTTTATGTTAGTCATATAAAACTACTGTAATTAATTTTTGACAAAATGTTAGGTTGATGGAAACAAAATAGAGGATATTTTGGCTGTTGCTAGATGTGAACTATGCGAATCCGTTCTAGATAGTATCAACGAAGTGATTACGAACGATGGAGTAAGACACAATTCTGTTTCTTTTTGATATATTCCAAACCTTCTGTCACTTCAGACAGAACAAAGGCAACATTTGAATCGTAAGATCTGCAATGCTTAGTTTTATTATAAGTCGATCTTCTGAAGATGTAATTAATATTATTTTTTTAAATCTTTCGCAAGAAGTCTGTTGTAAAATACACCTTTTTTAGCTCGTTGAAAAAATGACGGAGCTCAGAAATCTTATTGAAAAATCCCCAGAAGAAGGAAAAGGTCTGCTTTGTAAGTATATTGTGAAATCCGTATTGCTCCTTGCTCTCAAAAAAATGTAATCCACTGCTCGTTATAAAACATTTTATGCTATCACTACTTCAGCACTCAGTATAATCATTCACTGATGACCTATAGTTACTTCAGGATGGCGACCAAGTGGCATCCCAGAAAAAGACATAATCGGTCACTTACGACCAATTGTCAATGATTACGAATCAGATTTGATCAAGCTGAAGCAAAAATTGCAGGAAGAAGTTGAAGTGAGCATCAGCCATCCTGGCTCTTCTTACAAACTGAGAAACCGTGAAATTTTGAACAAAATGTTTCTGAATATAATTCCTTACAATGATTTTTGGGTTTTGCCTACATATTTCTGCAAACAGTTATTCAGTCGAGAGCACAAAACTGCTAATAATTGAATCGTCATTTTGCAGTCGTCCTAAACATCATTTTTCAGAATAAGCAATATATATTTAAAGAAACTGAGGACAAAGCTAACGCAATAATGCAAGAAGCAGCAAGTTGTGACCTACAGACTGCCACAACCAAATAATATAACGGCTTTGTTTAACATATGTTCACTCATCAACTGTAAATAACGTCTTATGATTTTTT